GCTACCGTGTGTAGCCAGCAGCCAGCGTGAGCGGCCAGCAGCCGCAGTGAGTGGCCATCCAGAAGCCGGCGACTGATCTGCCTCGCCCGGGAAGAACACAATGATGGTGCCAACTTGGGCCAGTGAAGCGACGTCCTCCACAACTAGACCGAAGAACAAAACGACAGCAGCTTGTCTGTTCCCCTTCCCCCAATTCCCTAGCACTGTTCCCATCCCCCAATTCCCCAATAAAAAAAATCTTAAAAAAAAAAAAAAGAGAAATCAGTGCCTTTTCACAGACCAGGAGCCTCCTTGAGTCTAAGAGGATGCAGGAGCCCACTGAAGAGGCGCCCACTTGCCAAGGGTGGGAAAATCTGAGCCTCACTGAGGATCAGAATCACAATGAGTTGAAATTTATCAAATATACTTAAATCCATGAATCCATAAGGATATTAAATATTTTTAGAAAACTAATTCATCTTCTTCTCAGGACAAAAGAGAACCAACTCATTATCTTGGAAACTAAGTAAATGAAACAGAAAAACCCTGCCTTTCCTGCATGAACTGTATCACTGGGAAGCCAAATCGTAGGCGACGGGAAGCATCTCTTTATAACATTCCAGCTAAGAAGCAAAAACGAACTGACAGACTGAAAAGGTCTATTTGGCAATCGCCACAGAGTCAATGGAGGCGGCCTGGAGCGTCAATGGCTTCCAAGATGACAAAAGGCCACGTGGTCAAGGGTCATCAGATGCCTCCTGGTGAACGAGCAGCACCTCGAGGCTTGCCACGAGTGTGATGGAGACCCAAGACCCAGCTGCCAGCCTGCGGGGACCCAGGATGTGCTCGACTGCCCTGGGCTGTTCAGGGATGGCCCCATGGGCTGGTCCTTCAACAGTGGAACTGTGAGGCCAGGAAAGGCAGGCAAAGGGTGTGTGCAGCCACATTCAGACACGGCAGGCTTAAACCAGCGTGTCCACACCACAGTGGTGAGCCATAAAAATTCCAGGAGGTGACCACCATAAAGGGCAGGAAGCTGGTCATTTCTGAGGAGGAAGGCTGCGCTGGGTTGAGGTGTAAGGAGGAGCTTCGAGGGTGCTCAGCAAATGTGTAGTTTTGATCTGAGTGGTGATTACGAGGGTGTTACAATAATTCCCCATACTACACATTTACTTCCTGTACCTGGTTTTATTTTACAATAAAAAACAAAACAAAAACGGTCTATGTGTTTACAACATGTAGGAACTGCTCTGAGTTCCTGGCACACATTAGTGCATTCCACTCTCCGTTTCACACACCCAAGCAAACGTGTAAATGAGGACACTGCTCTGTGCCTGTCAGCGCTCTGCTGGCCAGGGAGGCACAGAGGGCCGACCACGACCCTGGCCCTCCTGCGAGCCCCCCAAGCTGCCACAGGGGCCCAGGAGCTAAGGGCTTTACCTGCATTGCTCCTTGAAGCGGCACTTCCCCTCCAGGAAGAACGGGCAGGTCTTCAGGGACTTGTGGGTGGGGTACAGGTAGAGCACGCGGACGCCTGCGGAGCCATCGCTGGCCTCTTCTGTGCCCACAATCATGGCATTGTGATACTCCAGGGTGCCCCACGAACTGTAGAAGGGGGCGTTCACCTTCCTCCCGCTCAGCTCCCCCTCGTCCTCCGAGTCCTCCCCTTCTTCCTCCTCCTGCCCAGGCTTGCTGGGTTCTGGCCCCGTCTCTGTTTCAGGAACAGCGTCCACTTCCGCCCTGGGGGATACTGGCGCCTCAGTCACGGGCTTCTGGAAAGCCAGGTACTCGGCACCGTCTTGGGCTGGGTGCTCTCCGTCCAGCGTGGCCAGCAGCTTGCTCTTCCTGACGGACACCAGGCTGGCCTCCGTGAGCTCGATCAGCTCTTTCAGGTCCCCCTGGAGCTGGCGCAGGTCCGCCAGCGCGGAGGGATCCAGGCCGGCCCCCAGGGCCAGCTCTACCTGCTGCAGCTGTGCGTCATAGGTCTGGAGAGCCGTCTGCAGGCTCTCCTCGTCCATCGTCGGGAAAGGGCTGACTTCCCTGGGTCCTCAGAGGGGCGGTGCGGGAGCAAAGCTGCAAGGCAGAGAGAGACGCCGTGAGCGCCGGGACAGCCGCCCTAGTTCCCAGGCCATCGCTGAGGGTGACATGGAGCGCTGCGTCCACAGCTGCACTCGGGACCTCACCACAGCCTGCGGGACCGTGTGCGCTTCCCTCTCCCGTTTTGGGGCGAGAGGACAGGCTGCAAGAGGTTATCAGCTCCGAGTGGAAAAACCACAACCGGACCTTGGCCGCCAGCCCCACGGCCTCGGCTCCCTTCCCCGGCCGCCCTGGGCTGTTGCCGCTAGATTTCATCGGATTCTCCGCGTCTCGGCCCAGCGCTTGGGGGTCTCCCCGCGCCCCCGCCCTCCACACCCCCGGGGTCCTCTCAGGCCGCTGCCTCTCCGCCCCCAGCCTCCCGGGCCGCCGGCCTCCGCTGGCCCTGTCACCTCGGGCCTGGTCGCCCAGACCGCGTCCCTCTCCCCCGGCCGGAAACCTCTTCCGCGCAGTCCGGCCGCACCATAGAGTGCCCTCCGGCCTCATCGGCTAGAGCGGCCCGGCGCCCGGCTTCCGCCCTCGCAGCCCACGGGCGCTTCCTGCCGCGGGGGCCGCCGGGACGGCTCCGCCCTCTCCTGGCGGCCGGCCAGGTCCCGTCGGGCGCCGCGCGGGGTCAGCAGGGTCAGGCGCACGCAGCTCCGCGGCCCCGGCGGGCACAGGTAGGCCGGGGTTGGGTCGTCGGCCCCCCGGCGGGCGGAGCAGGGCCGAGGGCGGGGCGGACGGCCTGGAGCAGCTTCCGGCGGCCGGGCTGCGAGCCCCAAACCCGGTGTCAGGGCGGGGCGTCGGGCCCCGGGGCCTCCCGCCTGTCCACGCCGCCAGCCTGCTGCCCGGCCACTCCGGGCCCTCCGCGACCGGCCACCACACGCACCCCCGTCTCCCAAAAGTGGAGTGTCCCCGCTTAACGCTTGTAGAGGGTCCTGCTGCGCGTTTACCGGGCGCCTGCTGTGCGCCAGGCGGCGCGCCGCCTCCGAGGGGCGTGACCGCAGTTGGGAGAGGAGCCGGCGGCCCACGCGGGGCGGGAGCCAGCGTGTCCCTGGTTGCGCCCGGGAGGAGGGCCGAGTGGGAGTGCAGCCTTGAGGGGCGGCCTGGCGTCGGCGGTGCTGAGCGCGGCAAGCCCTGGCTGTGGTCCTGAAGCCGGAGAAGGTCGAGGCCTGATCGGCACTCGGGGCGCAGAAAGCCTCGGAGGGGCCGCAAGGAGCCAGGAGGGGGCGCGAGGAGACCAGGGAGTGGTCCGGCCCGCTGGCGGCCGGCGTGGGCGGAGTTATGGGGGGCGGGGCGCAGGGGACGCCAGAGGACCCCGGTTCGGATCCCACATATGAGGGCCAGTGACACTGCCCTCTACAGCTAAGATGCTGAACAACAGCTCAACCTGGAGCNCCTGGAGCTGGGTTGCCATGAGTCGCCGGCGACGGCGTAGGCTGCAGTGGGTCTGCAGTGGGGCTGCTGTGAGCTACTGTGAGTGGCCGGCAGCCAGCATGAGTGGCCAGCAGCCGGTGTGAGCTGCCAAGAGCCACTGTGAGTGGCCAGAGGCCGGCGACCGATCTGCCTCATTCAGGAAGAGCACAATGATAACACCAACATGGGCCAGTGAAGTGACGTCCTCCACTAGACTGAAGAACAAAAGGACAGCAACTTGTCTGTTCCTCTTCCCCGATTCCCCAATAATATCTTAAAAAAAAAAAAATTTACCCAACTCAATCACCTACCTCACAACATTCACGGAAACACATACCAGGGTAAGTAAAAACTTAAACCTGAAAACAAGCACCCAGAACCACAGAGAAGATCCTGAGTTCCAGCCACGGCTAAGTACAGAGGTCACTGAATGCTCTCCACAGAAAAACAAGGCAAAACTGGGCAAAACTGCCAAAGCTCATAGCTTCAGAGCTCTGGAAACTGAAGCAGACACACGCCGAGAAGCAATGATGCTTGAAAAACTGCCCAGCTTTGGGGCAGAAGTGGGGGGATTGCTCCCTGGCTGCCCGGGTCACCCAACATGAGCCTCACCTGCAAAAGCAGCCACAGAGGCTGGAAACCAGAGCCTGGCAGCTGAGCAGTGAAACTGGTCAACACCACAGAGAAGGCTGTGCAGCGGGCACTGGGCCCACCAGGCGTGTTACAGGCAGACCGTGAACATGAAAGGGCACCAAAGGGACCCGCTGTCCATGAACCCTTGGCTCCACAGGAAACGTGGTGCCTGTATCAAGAGCTCTAAGACATACCAGGACAAGGTGACAGCAAAGGGAGACCAGGGGCTGGTGAGACAGGAACGAGACCCTAATTCACGCAGAGCAACGAGCTGAGCGGGGAAGCCTTTTGGGAAAGAAGCGTTGGAGTACAGCCTCTACCTAAATCCCTGGCTGACCACTAAGCTACGCAGATACGGAGGGCGCCTAAGAAGCCAGGCTGAGAAGGGAAATTAAAAATCTGAGCAGAGATATCAGAGGCTGCACACTATGGGGGGGAGGCAGACTATAATTTAGGTCCAGAAAACACTAAAACGAAACAACACACTCAGAAAAACAATTCAGAATCCAGAGTTGACATATTAGATCATTTGAAAAGTCTAGTTCTCAATAAAAAAAGTACAAGACATGCAAACAGAAAAGCGTGATCCATATTTAGAGAAAAAAAAACAAACCAGTTGACAGAATCTGACTGAGTGGGCCTAGAAGGTGAGTTTAACCAACACTTCAACGTAGAGACCGTAAGTATGTTCCAAGATTAAATGGAAAGTATCATGACAATAACTCAAAAAATAGGGAATCTTAAGAGAGGTGGAAATTATATAAAAGGAATCAAACGGAAATTCCAGAGCTGAAAAGTCCATAACTGAAATGAAAAATTCACGACATGGGACACCTCTGGTTTCTGGTCTGGCATGTAAGAAGCTTGGACGTCACCCCTCTGTCCTCACAAAAACAAAAAGGAGAATGTGGAACACACGGAAAAGTCACCAACTCTTCTTAGAGCCATTAGAGAAGTGAGGTCTCAGGGCCAGCTGCTGCCCCAGATTTGGAGAGTCTGACAGGCAGATGCAGAGAATCGCCAACCCCCAGCAGCAGCGGCCACAGGACACAGCCCCGGAAAGGGAGCGCGGACTGCCCACTCTCGGAGAAGCCTGAGGGTCAAAGCCCCTGGGGCTTGTGTCGGCCGGCTCCACACTTGCATGTTTTACTCTAGGAGCTCCACCGGATTTTCACAGTAAATACTGGAAAAAATTCCCTGCGCTCGTGCAGAGGGAGGGAAAAAGGAGCCATTGTGAAACACACCAGGGCACTCTGTTCTTCACAAGGCTGCCCTCGGGGAAGCCAGCTCACCAGAGCCTAGCCTGTTGGGGTTTATCAGAGTCTGACAGAACTGGGTTTAGGGAAACACCAGCTCCAGCCTCTTCTAGCCATCCTGTCCTGCGCATGCGCGTGTGTGTCTGAGACACATACATGCAGTCCACAATCCAGAGGCCTAGTTTTACTAACACACTGAGATCTAAGATATATGACAATTAAGTTCGTGAACTTGTTGCAATGACGTTGCTAACCTTTTTTTAATACCAGAGGGCTCATTCATTATGAATTTGTACCAACAAGTAAATTAACCAAGTTTACTATTTGGAAGTGCTGAAGAGGCTGCATAAAAAACTTAGATGACCTGAACTTTTCGCCAACAATTCATGGCTCTTGCATCACGACAATGCACCAGCTCACACATCACTGTCTGTGAAGGAGTTTTTAGCCAGTAAACAAATAACTGTATTGGAACACCCTCCCTACTCACCTGATCTGGCCCCCGATGACTTCTTTCTTTGCCCGAAGATAAAGGAAATATTGAAAGGAAGACATTTTGATGGCATTCAGGACATCAAGGGTAATATGACGACAGCTCTGATGTCCATTCCAGAAAAAGAGTTCCAAAATTGCTTTGAAGAGTGGATTAGGTGCTGGCGTCGGTGCATAGCTTCCCAAGGGGAGTGCTTCGAAGGTGACCGTAGTGATATTCAGGAATGAGGTATGTGGCACTTTTTCTAGGGTGAGTTCGCGAACTGAATTGTCAGACCTCGTAACCACAGGACTACAGGACGCTTCCCTCATTACCACATCACAGCAGTTCCTTTTAGCTAGCACATCATGTCTGGCTATCAAAAAAAATTACAAAACATACTAAAAGGCAAAAAACATAGTATACCAAAACACGAATTAATGGAATTCCAAAAAAAGAGGGAGAGAAAGGCACAGAAAAAAATGTCTGTAGAATTAAAGAATAACGGCTGAAAAGGTCCCAAGTTTGATGAAAGACATGAATCTATGCATCCAAGTAGTACAAACTCAAGGAGATCCACACTACGACACATCATGATTAAACGGTTGAAACCCAAAAACAAAGAGAATCTAGAAAGCAGCAAAAGACAAGTCAGTGGGTCGGCCGAGTGGCGCGATGGTTAAGAGCTGGCTTGGGACGCCAGAGGACCCCGGTTCGGATCCCACATATGAGGGCCAGTGACACTGCCCTCTACAGCTAAGATGCTGAACAA